ATAACTTTTAAAAAATGAAAAAACAAAAAACCACCAACAACCTACTTTTCCTGAACACCTCCAGTCCATCTGACAAGCAGGTTTCAGAGAATCCTGGAGCACAGAGGTAATTCTTCCTGTGTATTTTCCAAGAGTGGGTTGTTCCCACCACCATTGTTGGTCAACAGGTGAAGGCCACTGGGCTCACAGTCATCTGCCCGTTGGATCCCAACTGCCTGGAACTTGCCAGGTTGCCCGGCCCTGCCCCTTAAAATACAGCCCCTCATACCAGGTCCCCCTCTGAAGCCTGCTAGAGCGTGGTGGTGACGGGGATCACGACGCGCTCTCTCTGGTGGCTCTACAACAACAAACCATGAGAGCGGGCCCCGCCTCCTGCTCCACCAAGCCACCTGGACACTGGGGTCACCTACTTCTCAGATCTGAGGAGTTGCTCTGCAAATTGAGGGGATGGAAGATCTGGGGGTGGGAAGAGAATCTGCTCAACAGGGCTCCCTGTAGTCACGACACGGCATCTTTTAAATATATCGGTGGTACTTTTTCTGCCGAAGAGCTGTTTTCCCAAAGACCAGCTGATCTCTGCTCCAGGAATGAAGTTATTAAACTCCGTTATAAAGGCAGCAGGAAACAGAGAGCCAGGCTGGCTGCACTCTCAGGAGACATGGATACCAGGCCAAGTTCAGCCAAGAACTCACTATGAGCAGGTGACTGACCTCTCTGTCATCTGAAAAGTAAGGATATCACTTGTTTTACCATATGCCAAATATGTCCTGCGGCTCAAAGAGCATAATAAAGGAGACTGGGCTTTGCAGCATTTAAACCATTTCCCAGATGTAAGGTGGCGTGTGCTGTGCTTGCTCCCAGAGAGGAGTTGGGCAACTGAACCCAAAGAGCAGCATCTCATTGATCTTCACATCACTGTGCTACACACTGGGTGAGCCAACTACCCCGATCAGTCCGCGTTTGACAAGGACCCTGGGCTCTCGCTCCCCAGCACGTCACAAAAGTGAAAAGAGGTCATTTATTAAAACTAGAATAAAACAAAGTGACGTAGTTTATTTTAGACTTCCAATGAAAGACAGAAGGAGATCATTTTATGACAATTTGAAACGAGGATTCTGAAAAGATACAGCAGGGCACCCTGGGCTCAGGCAGGGAGGTGCCTGGAGTCCAATAACATGTGTGAAATCCCAGCTTTTACTAAACAGCACAGTGGGTCAGGGAAGCGTGCACTCTGGATGAGACGTCAGAGTCCAAACCCCAGGTGCTGACTGTGTGACCCTGGGCACACGACTTGACCACTCTGTGTCTCAATCCGCTGACCAGTAAAATGGAGTGTACCTGCCTTCACAACTTTACCACCCTTGTGGGGTTATCATGAAACCTGAAAGAGTTCGCGTTTGTAAAGTACGTAAAACAACATCTGGCCCACAGCGAACACTGTTAAGTGTTGTTAAATAAACATCCACTTACAGAATTCTCAGGAACAGTAAATAAGATGTGTGTAGTTTGTTTAGTAATGTAACTGCAGGAAGTTAGTCATAAATTTAAAAATTAGTGGATACAGGGACTTCCCCGGTGGCGCAGTGATTAAGAATCTGCCTGCCAATGCAGGGGACACGGGTTCAAGCCCTGGTCCGGGAAGATCCCACATGCCGTGGGGCAACTAAGCCCGTGCGCCACAACTACTGAGCCTGCACTCTAGAGCCCGCGAGCCACAACTACTGAAGTCTGTGGGCCTAGAGCCTGTGCTCCACAACAAGAGAAGCCACCGCAATGAGAAGCCCACGCGCTGCAACAAAGACTAGCCCCCGCTCGCTGCAGCTAGAGAAAGCCCACGTGCAGCTACGAAGACCCAACACAGCCAAAAATTTTAAAAAACAATAAATAAATAAATAAATAAAAATTTAAAAAATCTTTAAGAAAAATAAAAATTAGTGGATACAGATTTAGATAGATGAGCAGACGGTTTACAGCCGACTTCAGGCCTGAGGTTACCCAAAGCAAGTTTACCAGGCCTCCTGGTGTTCAAAGTGAACTTCACAGGAGACTGGATGTCCGTGTGCGCCCAGCACTGATGGAGCTCTGCCAGGCACACCGCGCTGCTGGGAGAGCTAAGTGCCCGACTGCATTTAAGCCTCGCTCCACCTTCACAAGCCCATGACTTCAGGACCATTCACTTTCTCTGTGGATGAAACTGAGGCTCGGAGATGCCAAAGACCTTGTCCATGGTCTCCCAGTGCTGCAAGGTAGAGCCAGAACTGAAATCCAGATAGGCTGGACTCCAATACCTGTGCACTGGCAGAACGCAGAAAGTTCCGGTCACCGCAGTCTCTGATCATAAACAATTTCTGAAAGTGCTAATTAAGACACTCGTTGATATATACTCCTACTTTCAAATAAAGTATACATCATCCTTAAACTGTAAAATTAAGCTTTTTCAGGGGCAAGGAGAACCACCATCACTACCTGTAAACCACCTAAAACTCCGCAAATTGAAAAGAAACAGATTCTCCACATACCAGCATGTTATCCAATACTATTTTATTCTACTGAAAAAAAACCTCTCTGGCCTTCCCAAAGAATTTCACACATATAGACTTACTTTCTCAAGTAACACAGAAAACCATTACCAGCCACGTCCTGCAGTAAAACAGAGAGGAGGAAAGGGGAAAAACAGAAAGACCCTTATTTTCCAGAAAGGGTTTGAAAGCAACACTGCTAGAAAACACTATCCTGCTTAATCCCAGTGCTCTGTAAATAGACATTTAAAAAGCTATTTATACAAATCAAAACATGCAAACTGCCAGAAAAAATACATTTCTTTAAACCAAGGAGGGTCTTGCTTCTGGTTTTCTTCAGAAATCTGAGGTTACAGAAAGCAGATTTTTATGATTTTAATTGCACATAAAAATACGTGTGATATTATGGTCTCCAAAGCTCTTGAATCCAACTAGGATAAGCTGTTCCCTCACCATGATCATCCTGACTGTGGATTCTGTCCTTTTTACCCTTAACTGTATGCAAACGCACGATGATAATTTTGCCTGTCCTGGAGCACGCCTATTTCTTCCCGCCTTTGCCCTTCATCTCTTTGGGCTTCTAGAGCTTTCCACAATGATTAAAGGCAAGAAGGGTCCCAAATAGATACAGCTTTCAAAAAGAAACTCCCTCCTCCTCCCTTGCGCTAGCTTACTGAAAGAAGGGAGGCTGCCCTTTCCAAGCCCCTGGCCGCCCCTCTTGCAGGAAACCCTGGGGGGGCAGGTAATCCAGAGGAAGACTGTCCTGCAAGTCCCAGCCCCAGGGCTCAAAACACAAAATTTTGTAATTTGTCCCACTCCTGTAAAGCTCCATTCAGAGCAGACCACTTTGTTTTCCCAGGAGATGTGTAATTTTAGGCAAGGTTTCTGGAAGACAAGACACTGCAATTAATGTTTGGTAAGGGGGTGTGTCAAGGACACAGGAACTTTTAAAAATGTCCAGTCACATCTTGATGGTCTCCACAGAGTTTGCTGACTTAAAAAGATTATACAAGGCCCTGTAGCCAAACTGAAAAAAAATCTCTAAAAGCAAAAAAAAAAAAAAAAAAAAAAAAGTCAAGGAAAAATAAAAATATACATTCCATTTTTCACATAATGTTCTGCCAAACCCCATGCCCCACGACCACACACATTTCTAGACACCGCCTCATGCTGCCCGAGCAGCCAGGCCTTCTGCTGCCCTGAAGCCAAGGCTGGGAAAGCAGCAGCCATGAGACCAGCTAAGAGGGTGAAGGGCACTGTGGCAGCCACACGGCTGTCAGCCACTTGCAGCAAACTCGCTGGGAAGCCAATCTCTACACTTAAGGTGCCATGCACCCAGCCCTCACCTCCTCTCCAAGTGCCTTAACTACAAAGTCTCTCTGGGCAATGTTGATTCCTGATGTCAGCATGCCACTTAGGATTACTCAATTTCAGGTTTCCTGTCCTGTGAAATACTTTACACAAGTTATAGGGAGATAGTGTGGTCCTCACCAGTTTCCTGCTTTCAGTCTTCCCGCAATGCTAACAACGTATTCTCTTCCATTTCCTTGTTCCAAAAAGCCTTCCACCACCAACTTACAGAAAAAAAAAAAAAAAAAAGCCTCCAAAAGGATCTCCTGGTCTCTACACTCCCAGCTCCCGGGTCCAATGGTACACTGCCCCCTCTACAGTGCCCGCCCCTTTCTCAATGTGATGGCACCACCATTCTTCAGTTATCACAGTACTGTACCTTTCAGATATACAGCATCGGTACCATGATAACCGAAAAAGGACAGTTCAGTCTCATATCTACCTGAATATGTCCTCGAACCCAAGGCCCATTCCCTCCGCCAGCTTCCCACCCACAGGTGGCCACAGAATGATCTTCAAGTATATAGACACATGTACAGAGATGTCAGTGCTCAAACAGGCTGTTTCACAGCAACCTCACTGACTATCAACAGGAGTGCTTCTTTCACTGTGCTGTTTAGAATTCAAGTCTTCTGAGGACCTGCTCTTTTTTGGAGAATGCCTGCTTTAATACCCCAACAGTCAACCTCTGATAACATCTCATGGCCTCAAACTCACCTCTGCATTTCCCTCCTAGTCCAGTGGCGTTACTATGGACTTTGCCTCTTGGAAAAAAAGGCAGTCCTTTTTGCTAAAGCTAGGAAAAAGAGGGATTTTTAAAAACTAACAATAAAACCCAAGCTATAACAGAAGCAGGAGTTTACCTCCAAAATGGAAACAATATCTAAAGCACAGACAGAACTGTCTAGTATAGATCACGCAGTTTTAATGACACAGAAATGACAGATGGGAAGGAAGAAACTGCAGGAAAGAAAGGAAAGCAAAATCCTTGTTAAACGCCAGATGAAAGCGACAACCTCCAGCGCATTTAAGGATCAGCATAATCAGGTGGGAACAGGATAGTGCTCATCATTTTGTTCGACTGGAGGATTAAACTGGACAGCATAAGGGGGCTGAAAGAAAACAACTCACGTGTAGGGAGAGAGTGGTCCGAGAAGGACTTTGGAAACATCCTGCTGTCCAAGGGTCATGAGTAACAGAGCCAGGCTTTGGTTGGTCGAGTCCACACATCCACCCTGTAAACACAAACACTTTAAGGATTAATCATTGTACCAAACCAGATAATGGGAAACCAACAAAACAGAGGGAAAAAAAAAAAACAGACACAGATGCCCAGAGTATCAGAACCACAGAAGAGCAGACGGCAAAATTCAAGCAATAATAAAACAGAATAAGTGTCTTTTAAAGAGTTATCCTCATATCAAGTAACTGTAGGGGGTTAAACTAACAGTTAATCAAAACAATTGTAAGAGCTGAGACTATCAGAATGAATAGACATTTAAGTTTACCGAGGTATATCTAGTGAAAAATGAAACTTTGCCTTTGTAATTAAAGCCATAGCAGGACATAAAAGCAAAAAAGCATAATCATTTACAGGCAATGCATAATTACCAAGGGTTAAGTAAATGACATTTCTACTTATTTCATCTGTCATAGAACACCACAGCTAATCTGACATGAGAGGACCTTTCCCTTTCAAGGGTCTTACCTACAACACATTCGATGACATTCAGAAACTGCCTGCCATATCACTTTAGATTCCCCTCTTTAACCCTTCCTGTGTGCCTTAGAACTGGAGAACTGTTCAGACCAGATCCCTCCATTCTTATTATTTATGCATTATGTTCTCCCATTTTCCCTGCTCTTCCAAATCAATAAGCAGGACAAAATTCTCTTCAAAAACTTTCTCCTGAAGTACAACTGCTTTGGTTGCCTTTCTTCTTTCATTCTCGAATTTTTCAACCACTTCAGCCATTCTGCTTCTGCTTGATGCAGGCATTACTGCTGCTTCCATTTGTGCCTTGAAGAATGTCTTTATTTCAGATCATCCTCTCTGGGATAACTTTATTTACAACAACTTAAATTTACACTGTACATACTGAAAGCAGGATGACCTTGAATGTCTACATACTTTGCATATTTCACAACAAGAAATCCAGTTTCTAACCATGGCACATCACTGTTCAAGGCTAGACTCTCCCAGACTTGGAATGGGATAAGTGGTCACCCACTGCTGCTTACGTGGGTACACCTGTCTCCTTTTTTAATGCACGTAGGGTAGGGAATAAATTGATTCTCAGGTACAGACACTCATTCTCTGCTGTCAGACTTCATTGAGGACAATGGAGTAGGAAAATCAGAAATGGATCCTACTGCCAGCCTTTATGAAACCTACTGCTCTTCCTCATCTACCTGAGTTAATAAAGGACAATAGTTATCTCATTTAGCAAATTTTAGGACGAGCGGAGTTCCAGCACATATATTTCCATCTAAACGGAAAACCTGACCCATGGAGAATAAAAGAATATATAACAAAATATATTAATATAAGATTTAACAAAACTATTTGTTTTATAGAACTTGCTCCTTTTCATAAGACTGCCTAAAATTAAACTGTTCTCTTCAGTCTCAGCTTCCTAGCACTATGTTGCTATTCTGCTATTCTCAATTGATTTTTTTTTTTTTTTTTTTTTTTTTGCAGTACGCGGGCCTCTCACTGTTGTGGCCTCTCCTGTTGCGGAGCACAGGCTCCGGACGCGCAGGCTCAGCGGCCATGGCTCACGGGCCCAGCCGCTCCGCGGCATGTGGGATCCTCCCGGACCGGGGCACGAACCCGTGTCCCCTGCATCGGCAGGCAGACTCTCAATCACTGTGCCACCAGGGAAGCCCTCAATTGATTTTTATTATGTACTGAACCAAGATTTTTACTGCAGTAAATATATTAGGGTCTGTGTACAGGATACAACAGAGGAAGTGGTGGGGCCGCCCGGACAGCAGGACACAAGCCTTGTGCAAAGTAGCTTCAATCTCATTACAAAGACAAAATATGAGCAGGAACCAGTAACAAGTGAAGGTGAAGACGAAGTTACGCGGCAGCTGGGGGCTGTGGGCACCGGGACTGCCAAGGTGGTGCGAGAGGGGTTGTCACTCCCCTGGCACCACAGGGAGGCTTTGGGGAGGTGGGGACTTGAGCTGGCCCTGGAGCGATGAGCAGGGTTTGGAGAGGGAGGAAGAGCAGGAGGAAGGGGGAGATACAACCCAGGGCCGGCAAGGACCAGCCAGGAGGCCAGCCTGAGAGTGGCTGTCTGCTCTCTGCGGAGAAGTATGCGGAACTGCAGGGATAAGGTGGAGTAGGCAGACTGAGGTGGGGCTTTTCTAACTGGGCCACGGGTTTTGACTCTATCCTGGGGAAGTGAGAAGCTGGTGAAGGTCTCCGAGCACAGGAGTACCAAGATCAGATCGCAGCTTTAGGGGGAGATTTAGGCTGAAGAGGATGCTGGAGAGGGTATGGAAAGGATTTCCCCTCTGCAAGTAGGGAGAGCCAGTACCTATATCGGGGGAGGGGGGAACGGAAGGGAGGAGGGTGGGAGATGGGGGCAGAGAGAAGGATAGGAAAGGGCAGTTCCAGAAAGCCTGGGACAGAATCAAGAGGGCTTGGTAACTGATGAGACAAAAATGGAACAAGAGGAATTAGATCAGAGGATTAAAACTCTGGCATAAATAAACGGTACCAAAGGGGATGGATTTTTATTACTTATTTAAACCATGTCACATCACAGACTTACAAAGAATTATAAAAACTGCATGCATTTTCATCCTTTTAGAAATTAAAGATCACAGACACACACAAAAGAAGTTTTCTTAATGACTTAAAACAAAAAACTCAGTCCAGCCACTACTGAACGGTTTAAAGCAGAACTTAACTAGAGTAAAGAAAAAGTAAACTAAAATAACCTAATCCAGATTACATGTTTTCGCTCTTGGGGACTGGTGGACTGTGCTTTCACCCTGAGGCTTTTACTCTGCCATTTACGGAGATACAAAACCCATATTCCAGCTGTGTCCGGGGGCTCCCACTGGGCTATCCTGTAATAGGATATACATCCAAATCCCCCAGGTCCACTGGAAAGAGAGGGATGTGTCCCCACAGTCAGAGAGAAGGCCTGCCGGCCACCCCAGGACCAAGGCAGGGAAACCTGCATGAGTCAATAGCAGCTGAGGGACCCACATGTGTCTCCAGCAGTCTTTCTTCACAAATATCTAGATGACAAACTTCCTGAACTGAGTAACTGGCACGGCAACCTCTTGGTCATTTACTCCATTTACTCCCAAATTTTAGTTACTATCCATCTTTCAAAAATCACTAAATTTAGCATCAAACATTGGAAAGACTTTGCACTGGAAAAGCTGAGGCCAGATCTTGACTGCTCAAGAATTATTAGAACATATTTCCTCGCTCAGAGGGATTTCTTGTGATAGACTATTTCCTCCCTCCACTATTTCCTAGCTGAATGGTGAGTAGAGGGAATGAGGTCTCTCTACTGAGGACACAGTTATAGGTCCTTTGTCTTCCATTTAATTAGATAGACACTAAATAAGCTGGAAATTTTAATGAACTTTGAAACAGTTCATTCCTACTTGCTCCACCTTGTGACCAATGAGATATTTTCAAAAATGCTGACTTTGATCAGGGGAGTAGACTGTGGCAATAAGCTGTTTTCCTTAGTGAGGCCTGTGCAGGGATCAATATCCATGACCCAGGCATCACCTTGCCACACTGATTAATAAATTACAGTGGCAAAAGGAAGAATTAAAGAACAAAATCACCACTGTACCAGCCTTACTGATTTTATTTCACTGGGCTCACGTGTGATTTTTGTGACTTTAAACAGAGCAAAACTTCCTAGAAGACTTCAGGAAAGAACCACAGAGATGTTTAATAACTGAGAATAAATACACAGATAGTACAGAGATGAAAAGCTCTTCAGCTCTTCAGCTGGAGAAGAAAGACAATTTACAAACACTCTACACCATCCAATAGCGAATCACCCAGAGTACAGTCGGCCCTCCACATCCACAGTTTCAACCAACCACAGATTGATTTTCAATTTCAGATGACTGACTCAGCGGATACAGAACCTGTGGATACTGGGGGTGGGAGGGGGGGACGGGGGGCGGTGGGGGAGTAATGAAACACAGACTTGAGCATCCAGGGATTTTGGTACCCACTGGGGGGAGGAGGGGTCCTGGAACCAATCACCTGTGGACACCAAGAGATGAGTGTATAGTTCTTGCTAGTGCTCAGTTTAAGAATGTGGGCCCCAGTGTGCCTCCACAGCAGAGGACTGAACATCCCTGGAGCCTGTCCTGGATTCTGCATGTCAAGGAAAAGGTTTCACCTTCCTGAGGTGCAGACTAACAGAAATCTTGGAGACAGGTTTGTGACGCTCCTCTAACCAAGTATACGGGATCTTAAAGAATGAATTTTCAGGCAGCTTATTTCTCCTGCCATCATCTTTCCTTCTCTTCCAATTTCCTCCTTGCTTATTTTGGGTCGCCTCAGCTGTCCCTGGGAAACAGAGTAAAGTGTGTGTGTACATATGTGCATGTTGCTCTTATGGATCAACAGAGAAAAAGGATTGTAGCAACTGAGGGGACAGGCTTGGCCAGACTGGTCTACGCCGTGTCCCACCAGTAGGACAGCAGAAGCAAAATGGTAATCAGTGCAGTCTTGTCCTCAGCATCATGTCATCTTTTCTTTGTCCCCTCTTCCCAAGCCCCTACTGTGCTCTGACACAGGCTGGCCTTCCCTAGACACTCTTCTATGTGCTCCCAAGCACCCTACAAAATCAAGCCTGTTGACACTGTTTTCTATCTGAATTAAACGTCACACACAAATCCAGGTTTCCAGCTTCTCTTGAAAAATCTGAAAAGAATGAGCCCCCATCCCCCTATGGCAACGACACGGGGCTGAGAGAAGGTCCCTGCTTTGCTCCAGGGGATGTGTGCTCTTCAATTGGCCAATCACTGCCTAACCTGCTTCATTTTTCACCTTCTCTCTCCTGTATGACTCTGTTCCAGTTCTCTGCCCTCCCAATCATTAAAACTTACCTGCCAGGACTTCCCTGGTGGCGCAGTGGTTAAGAATCCGCCTGCCAATGCAGGGGACACGGGTTCGATCCCTGGTCCGGGAAGATCCCACATGCCGCGGAGCAACTAAGCCTGTGCGCCACAACTACTGAGCCTGCGCTCTGGCGTCCACGAGCCACAACTACTGAAGCCCATGCACCTAGAGCCTGTGCTCCGCAACAAGAGAAGCCACGGCAATGAGAAGGCTGGGCACGGCAACGAAGAGCAGCCCCCGCTCGCCACAACTAGAGAAAGCCCGCGTGCAGCAACGAAGACCCAACGCGGCCAAACATTTAAAATAAATAAATTTATATATTAAAAAAAACTTACCTGCCATATGTAACAAACCAGTGGGGCTGGGCCTCTGCTCACTGACTAGTTTAGCCAATCCATTAAGCTAGTTAATGCTAAACTGTCTAAAGGGTAGGAAGAGGCTAACTCCTTGACTGAAGCCCTTAAAAGAGGAAGAAAGTTGCTAACGAATAAAAGTGACAGACAAAGAACTGCTTCCTGATGGCTCCTCTCCCGGACCTGCAGAAGCAGAGGACATACCCTATGGATTTCTTCGAGGAGCAGCTTGGCACAGTTCCTGCCGAGGTCCTCGGGAAGCACCGCTGCCCCCTGGCCCTGGTGGTTGGAGACAAGTTCAGCGCTGAGGAAGGTGCCATTGGTGGTCTCAGCGACCAGCCACAGTCCAAAGCCCGGAGACCTGAGGATTCAAAGGCACAGACACTGAGTAGCACACGAAGTGGGGTTCACATTCACCAGTAAAAAGAGAAGACAAACATCTTTTTGATGGCATTCTGTCTGGTCACATCAGGTCTTATTAGAGTCCCTCCCAGCTCACACTGGACATATACATGACACAGTGAGGGCACACACGTGACAGAACCAAAGGTGATGCAAATTTTGCATTGCTTTTCTTTTCAGCCCTCCCTTCCCCTAGCTCTCCCTTACCTTTCCCCACTCACTACATTGTAAAACATCCTGCTGTGAGAGTTTGTAACAGTCAACATATAGAGGCCCTAGTTTCTGAGGTAGGGGCTCCACACTATTCTGCAGAGTAAATAATACCATCCCCACCTTACAACTGAGGAAATGGACAAATCAAGCGACCTGCACCAAGTCCATACAGCTAGAAAGAGACTGAGATGCACTTCAAACACAGATCTTCCAGACTCCAAAGCCCTCGCAAGTTCTCCACCACGGCACTCGCTCAGCCCTCAGTCACAACCAGCCCAGAAGTACAAGCAGCCTGGAGACCATCTGATTATAGCTCTCCTTGAGAGACAGCAGGCTGTTCCCCCGTGATGAGAAATACCACACGAGGAGAAAGGGCCTAGAGAAGGCACACTTTTATGTTTTTGTCCCCAAGGGACATCTCTAACTCAGAATTCACTTAATATGATCAACAAGCCAGCACCATGCTCTCGCCTGTGTGTTTCAACCACCAACAGCCAGACCTTAACAGCCACACCTCTCCAGGACCACAAATGACTCACGTACGTGTACATCCAACAAACATTTGGGGGAAAGCTTCCACAGACCCGGGAACTGGGGCGCCATGGTAAGCACAGGAGTCCCTGCTCTCAGGAGGCTTAGTGAAAACCAGTTGGGTGCAAAACAAAATCAGTCCACAAACAATAAAAATAAGCATCTGTCCACAAAATTTCCAGATTTGACACCTCACGTCTACCTTGCGCGGTGCCTCTTAAACACACACAGCTGACCCTTGAACAACACGGGTCTGAACGGCACAGGTCCACTTATAGACTTTTTTCACTAAATACGTTCTACAGCACTGCGTGATCCTAAGTTGGTTGAATCCGAGGATGTGGAGGGTCAACGGCATTAAGTCCCACGCAGGCCTCTGACTGCGGGGAAGGTCAGCACACCTAACCCTAGCGTTGTTCCAGGGTCGACTGTACCTACTTTCCAGCAGTACACTCCACATGCAAGCACAACACAGCTTTAATAAAGCCTCCTTTAACACAATCCAACATACATATTCATGAAGCACTTTCTATGCATCTAGCACAAAACCAGCCAAAGTATTTGTTTCAGAAAAACGACGCATAAAATTTATGTTTCAAATGTACTATATATGAGCTCACAATAGGGAGGAACTATACTGGTCAGTCCTTAATTTCTTTTAAAAAAAAGTGATTGTCTATGTAGCCAAGGATTAATAACACCTGCCAAGGCAAGAGGGTGCAGTGAGAATGCCGGTTCCAGGGCACTCTGAGTCACACTTACAATCTAACACCGTACCACCAAGCATCATCATGGGACATTTAAAGCACAATCTCAAGTTGCTGATGAGTCACTTGACCAGGAGGAGGGATTGGGCACCCAGCTCATCAGTAGAGGCTGTGGCATGCCAAAATAAAGAGGAGAAAATGCAGGGAGATAAGCCACCATCACTGCTCTAACCCACTTACACGCATTTCCTAAGAACTTCTAAACTTTTCCATGCATGTGAAATTTTTGAGGCGTGTGTACTTATTGCAATGAACTTCATATTTAATCAAGACCGTTCCATTTGATATTGTATTTGTTTTACAGAAAACAACACAATAACATATTAAGCTCTATGTACTCTACACCAATCCCCACCCCGCCCACCAATTTGGGGTATGTGTTTTATCAGGCCTATTTCAAGTTATGCTGACAATGTAGTTGATCACCAGTGACCTCACTGAAGATGCACATTGGTACAGTTTGCAAATGACAGCCTCCAAAACTTTCCAACTGGTGAGGGACTAGATTTTTCATGACTGAGAGATGACTGTGAGAATCAAAATGGGACCACACTGGACAAATGTGCACTGGACAAAGAGCTGGCACAGCCCACCGAAAATTGCTGGCCACCAAGGTTCCAAGCCATGGCCACACGTAACTCTCACTCCCAGACTTCAATAAGCCTAACTTACGTGGATACTTCACTGAATTAGAAGAGAATACCTACCCATGACTTTATAATTTCATAATGGAGAATGAAGATCACCGTTAGTCAACTGTAGCTTGAGATTTAGAAAACGGAACACAAACTTAACACCATGCATTGGTTTTAGAGGTAAATTTTAAAGTGGAGCTTGGAGTTGATAACACAAGGCTACATTATGCCCACATCTCCATCCACGTGTGAGCTTCCTACTCATTATTAGCAAGTATGCGCCTTGACCAGCACTAGGGTCCGCTGAGTCGATGGCATTATAAAAAGCCACACTCTAGCTGGAGGCAGCATGGCCTTCAGGTCTGCTCTGCTTCTGTGTAGAGTGAGAGGCCGGACGACAAGGCACTATCGAGTCAGGCCATTCAGACAGCTGCTACCGCTACCTATCCTCCCCCATCCCTCGTAATCCCCTCTCCCCAGAAAACAGCTGACACATAGTTCCAGGCCTGTGGCCAAGAAGAGAAGAGAAAGGAAATAACGGCATTAGCAGCTACCATTTCTGCTGCACCTACTATGTGCCAGGCATTGCACTGGTGGCTTACATATGTGACCTTTTCATCTTTACAGTAACCTAGGGATGCAGTTGTTATCACTCCCACATTATGAATGAGGAAAACACTGATGGTATTTGAGCAATACACCAAAGGTTTGGGACCATCACTGACGTTTCCAACTCCCAGAAAAAGGGCCAGCTCTGCACACAAACCATTTCCCAACTCTAACCTCTGACATCACCACCTCTGTTGCTCTGGACTATGAGCCACCGCTGCATTTCTGAAGAGTCACCTGCATCTTTCCCTTGGGCTTCATGAAGGTCTGAGATCCCATAACACACTCACCCCTCCTTTACCCTCTTTTTCCTTCTTTTCCTGAAGTTAAAGAAAGTTCAGACAGAAGAGCTATGAAAAAGGATGAGCTGTGGTACAACTTAGGAAAAAACTGATTTTTTATCCCACAACAGTCAGTCTCTGATGTTCTTATTTTTAGAAGACACAACCTGAAAACTTCAGATTCAAAGTGTAAAGATATTGTCATTCACGTCGAAATGGTTAGGCAAAAACAAAGAAAACCCACACACAAGGAAAGCAAATTTGGCAAAATATTCATTGTTAACTACAAGTAGTAGGAATATACAAGTGTTCGCTGTATTATCCTTTCAACGTTTCTGTATACTTAACATTTTCATAATAAAAAATTAGGTTTTAATTGCTTCCCTAACTCGCTGGTTTCTAAATATACAACCAAAGCCTAAAACAGATATTTTCATTACACAGATCATCATTAACTTTTTATTTTCTAAAGTAAGGTCTTCTGCAAAGGCTCTAACTAAACCAAACTCAAATCTGCAATAACAACTTTCTTTGGCTCTAGGGGTGTTTTTCCCCTTGATGGAGAGAGAAGCCGACTGGCACTTAAACCAACAAAGGATTTTTTCCCCTAAACTGTTATTCACACAGGATGGAAGAACTTGTTTACTTTAATTTTTTGTGGGAACAGAGGACAGATGGGATTTAAAGCTTGCGGCACTGTTTATTAGTAGCTGGGCTTTAATTCCCCTAGGCTGGCGTCTCAACCCCTCATCACCCAGCACTGGGCACCGTGACGCTTTCCATGTGATAGGTGCTCAAAAGATGCCTGTTGCTGACAATGGTGGTAAGTTGGAAGGAAAAAAACTGTGAATCATTCTTCCTCTGGCTGCCCAACCTCAGAGCTGGCAACTTTAGCTTCAATCAGACCAGGAGTATGACAAAGGCTAGGGTGGCTAGGGGATTAGGCTCCAAAAACGCACAGACACTTACCTCCCAGAGTTGACTCCTTTCATGTGGTCTGTGTAAATATAGATATCGGGTATAAACTTGTTGAGGATGCTCCTTGCAGAATCCACAATCCTGTTTGCCATCTGAGGTGATACGCGTACCGAATACCTGCAGCCTGGAGTTAAGGGTGTCATTCTGCTTGGACTCCACAACAGAGAAAAGTCAGTCATAAAGCTAGCGAATATTTATAGAACTGTCATAACAAACTGGGACTTCTAATCCATTCTATTCTCCACCTGTATTTAATTACTTAACTTTGTAGTATCATAACTTAATTTTTACATTATTCTTTTTATTTATTATTATTGTATTGTTATATAATTTTTTGTATTGTTATAAAAAGCCCTCGGTGAAAAACATCTAAACAATATAGACACTTGGAAAGTATAAAATAAAAGCTGTCAACCCTGCTCTAGACTGCCTACCCATCCCTCCTCCCCTAGAAATGGTTCACCTCAATTTTGGAACAAGTAAAGGCAATTGCCCCCCTGTAGGGCATGAGCCAGGCTCCCTCTGAAGTATTCTCTGACCATCCCCACTGTTGTAACCATTGAGTCTTTCTCTTAGGAACCTAAGGCCAGAACAGACACCACACTCGGACTGACCTGGGCCCCTGTGTGTCCCAATCCACCCCCTGGTAGGCTGACAGGAAAGGCAGAAAAACATTAGTGAAAGAGCATAGTGGGGCTGTTTATAAAGGTATAAACAGGTTTTTGTGTTTAACTTAAGAGCCTACTTTCAGTTACTTAAGTGTTGATGATTCTATTTATGGATGATACAGGCTCCTCACAACTGCTACCCTGTGGTCAGAATATTAGTAATTAGCACTTTTACAACAGGGCACCCTCAGAAAGGAAAGGAGAAAGATATTAGCAACTCAAATGAAAAGGTTGGTGCTTGAGAAAGTGGAAACTATTACCTAAAATTAGACTTTGTTACAGAGACTGGCTCTCCCCAATTCCACCTACCAAATAAAAAGTAAGTATGTACTAAGCACTTCCGATGTTCACTGTACGGTCAAGGGGCAGCTGTGTATGTGGGACGAGGGGCTACCAAAAACAGAGAAGTAACAACATGTGATCTTCCCACTACTCTGACCCAAACCCCATGCAGCAAGTCCAACAGGGAAAATAAGGTGTGTAGTCTGCCCAGCCTCGCCCAACTGTTCGAAAATTCCTGTCAATAACACATTTAATTTTCATTTGAGCTGCAGAAGCAATATGCTCAGAGACTGAGCAAAGAATTTGACTGGCATCTGGCTCCCCTTTCTGACCCATCCTGAACATCCACAAAAGATCCAGCTTCCTCATGCTAGGGAGAATCTCCCAGTAACTCCGGGCCCTCCCAGATCTTGAGATTGGACCCCCTAGTCTGCTCGGTGTTCATCCCCAAACCGACACCACCACCCCCAGCTCCACCAACCAAAGTGTTCAAAGCCTTCGGCCTGATCTGCCTGCCTTCATTCTTCAACCCAGAGTTCCCCCCTCTCCTGAAATCCTCCGGGCAGCACCAACTGTGGCCTGCACTTGAACTTACCACACGTCTCCCTTCGTATACACTCATGCTGTCCTTGCTCTTCGATGAGACCGCACACTCCATAAGGAAAGGGGCTCTACTTCTGTATCCCTCACAAGTCTCTAATACACTACTTTTGTACTCAGAAATGCTCGATAAATATTTGACTTGACTCAAAGGACAAACCCGAAATGAGGAAAGAGCAAAGAGGGATTTTTCAATACACACACAGAGCCCAGTTACATCACCACCTCTTCTGTCCAGAATGTACTTTTGACCACAGGCAGCTTAGACAAACAGTCCCAGGTCTCATACCCTTTGGACCAGGAGGGTGCTATCCTTCTGAGGTCTGAAGCTGCCCACCCTGTGTGGGAAAATACAGATGTCGTTATCCTGACACATAAGCCCACAGCATTCATGTCTTCCAAAGTTCTTTCAGGTACATGATCATCTTATTTTATGCTCATGGTAACCCTGAGGCAAGGGCCACATATTCCTGGTTCCAGGGCTCACACTTAGGACAGCTGGGTCACGGAACTAAGATTCAAAATTAAACAGATCCGAATTCCCAGAGACAACCTTCTTCCCCCACCCTTCCAGGGATGTGGAAACCAGATGGCTAACAACAGTGCTAATGAGGGCCAGTGGAAGCATATACTAGAATTCAGGCAGTGGAGTAAAGAAGGAAAGGGACTTTAAAGCCGGCTGCCTCCCAGAGTCATTATGGAGCTATCTGGCTTGGTGTGGAGGCCCTACCATGATTGGCTAAGGGTTCTAGAATCAGATTATCTGTGTTAAGTGTCAGCTCCAGCAAACTGCATCATTCTGGGACTAATGTGCTATTCTTGGTGCCTCTACCTCTTCATCAGTAAGAAAAGGATAATCATAATACTCTCCTCACAGGGTCTGGAGGCTCAAATGAAGTAATGCGCGTAAAGTGCTCAGCGGTGCCTGGTGTGTGGTCGGAGCCCAGTGGATGTCAACTATTGCTTTTCCTACTGGTAGTCCAAGATTCAAATCCCAAAGCAGAGGTTCTTTCCTCTCAGGAGTAAGAGACCTCTCTGAGAATCTAATGAAAGCTATGAACCCTCTCTCAAGAAACACGTGAACACATAATTTTGAAGACAATTTTGGGGCATGGTGAATGTCCTGAAGGCCATTTATGAGTACCACACTGAGAACTCATATCCAAGAAACACAAGTTCATGGCTACAGCCCACATGGAACTCCTGCCCTTCACCCTCCCTGGTGTTACAAGTCGGAGAAAGCTAAGGGGTGTGTGTGTGTGTGTGTGTGTGTGTGTGTGTGTGTGTGTGTGTGTG